AAATGGGGTCACTGGACTTAAGAGCTGGAAGGGCCACTCGTGGTCATCAAGGCCAGCTGAAGCCAGACAGGACAAGGACTTGCCCAAGATCCCACAGTCAGAAGCAGAGCTGTAATGGAGCTGCTCCAGGTGGAAGTGAGGTGTGGGGGTGTGCCCATCCTCACTGGGCCAACCAGGTTACAGCGCACTCAGGTCGTGCCCTCCAAGCCTGATGAGGAAGCACTAGACTAAGGAACATCTGCCTCCTCTAACCCCCGGAGCCCCCAGCCCCTCTGCCCTAGTGGTGTGTATCTTGGAGGGGCCCAGGAGCAGCCGTCTTTAATGGGCACTCCACATCTGTTCACTTGTTCACCAGACATTTGCTGAGCCCAATTCTGTGCCCAGCATTATGGACAAAGGTTACTGTCTCTGTCTCTGACCTCGATGAGCTCACAGCCCTACAGAAAGAATAAAGGTGGACGCCATAGACGTGCAGTGCCTGTCTGAATGCTCTTCTCAAAGAGCGCCTGGACTACCCTGTGTTCGACATGGCATCAATGGTTTATTTGTTTGTTTTTTTTTTAGCTGAGCCATCCTGCTACCTGTTGGCAGCTCAGCAGCAGCTCAGCTCGGGTCATGAATCGAACCAGTGACCCTGTTGCTCAGAGATCACACTCGTGAGTGAGCTCTTAACCAACTGAGCCACTTGGCCGGCCCTAAGGGTTTTTCATAATTAATCATTTCACAACAGTCTTCTGTGTGACAGGGACAATTAGGCCCATCTCAGAGGAAGAAAAATGGGGAAACTAGGCTCAGAAAAGTTAAGTAATTTGCTGAAGTTCGCAAAGCTGTTAAGTTGGCAGAACTGGGATTCAAACCCAGGTCTAGTTGGATGCCAAGCCAGGTGCTTTCTACTACACTATGCTGCCTGTGCTGCAGGATTGGACCTGGGCAGCGATTCTGCAGGGCACACCAGGCTTCATGACTGCTTGACAAGATTAAAGCCAGATGGATCAATCCGTTAGTTCACCCTCTCAGGGAAGAGAAGATCCTCTCGTCACCAGGTAAGACCTCAGCCAGCAGAAGCGTCTCTACAAAGGCTGTCAGTGCTCACTCGCTAAGGAGATCCTGGCTGACTTGGGCTCAGCTGGGAAGCCTTTGCCTTCTGAGACAATGGCCAATGTCTTAGAATCCTCAAACGTCAGCGCTACAAGTATCCTCAGAGTTTTTTAATTGAGACATAATTAACATACCACATTATATTAGTTTTAGGTATACATAATGATTCAATGTATGTACATATCACAAAGTAATCACAGTAAGTGTAGTTAACATCCATCACCACACACAGTTAAAATTTCTTTTTCTTGTGATGAGAACTTTTAAGAACGATTTTATTTATTTTCTCAGAGAGCTTTTTTTTTTCCCAGGGAACACTCGCAAATAAAATCTTCCTTATAATTCCACTGTACAAAACACGGGACTCTGGGTGTAGAGGGCAGAAAGGGCCGAACTCGGCTGAAACTCAGTGTAATAAACACNCATCAAGAGACCTGAGCTCTAGTTCACTTCATTGCTTACTAAGCACTTTGGCAACTCCTGGTCCTTCTCGGGGCCTCAATTTCCTTTCTGTGAATTGGGTTTAATGCCCTTTCAGCCCAGCCTACATCTCAGGGTGAATGCGAGTATTCTGCCCATTCCCCATACCCCATGCCTGTTACCTGAGGCGGGTGCTGCCAATTGGCGTTGACTCTGAGCTTGAAGAATCCCGGTCTGTCTCCTCGATGAGCTGCTGGCTGGTGGGAATGGGCATGCTCACCAGAGCCTGGTGGAGCAGCTTGGCTTTGCCAAACTTGATGCTTTCATACAGCACAGCCAGGAGCAGAACCACCACCACCGAAAGGGCCAAGCCTGTCAAAGGAAGCTTGAGTCGCAGAGACCTGGCCGGGCAAGCACCGCTCCCCTTTCAGCATCTCCCCCTGGGACCTGGCACAGGTGGCAGAAGAGCATCTCAATCCACTCCCTCTGAATTGTTTCTGCCTCCCCCCCCCTCTCCCTCTCTCCCTTTCTCCCTCTCCCTCTCTCTCCCTTTCCTTCTTTCCCATCTTCACTGGGCTTAGGACTTCCTCAGTGTCTCTTTCCCCTTTCAGCCCTTTCTTGGTAGGGTTGGCCTACTTGAGTGTGGCTTTGAGGTCAGGAAGAGTAACTGCCTGGAAAAACCAGAAGCCATATATGATGGGCCCCAGCTGCCCCCCTCTGCAGGCGGCACAAATCTGTCATGACTTCTTGTTAAGGAAAGAATATGTATAGCAAGGTCCTGTTTATGTGTATGTACACAGAAAAGTCCAGAAGGAAGGATACAGCAAAGGAGTCATAATTAGCTCAGAAAATTCAGATACAGGACGTTTTTATTTTCTTCTAATTTCCCAAAGTGTCTACTATGTATTACTTTGATAATAACGGAGAAAAAAAACACAGTAGTTATTTTACAGAAAACATTAAGTGCTTACTAGAGTGGTTGTGTAAAATTAACTGCTAATTGCTACTTCTGTTTTACGAGTGGATGGATACTAAATGGTCCAACTATAGTATTTTATTGGACTCCCAGGAAGAAATCATCTGCAAAAGAGGCAGGTTATAAAATTACAGGTAACGGCATGCACGTGGTATAAATGCAAAGAGTGCACAAAGGCATAAAGTGAAAAGTAAATCTTCCTAGCTCAGTCTGCCAAACCCCAGTTCCCTCCCCAGAGCGGCCTCTGGTAGCAATTCCCTGTAGAGCCTTCTTGGCATACTCAGTATAGATAAATAAGCCTTTATGTGTCGAATGACAGCATTCTGTCTGTGCATACCCTTCTGCATCTGATGCCATCCTCCAACTGAACATGGGTTCATACATAGGTTCCCCTTAGTTCACACAGATCTACCTTATTTCTGTGGCTTCACTGTTAACTGTGATAGTTTTTTTATTTTCCAAAGATGGCCATCTCACTATATCCCACCCTGTATGCTCTTCTTACAATGTCAACACTCCTGCCATCAAGTGGTGGGGTCCATGTTCCCTCCCTTTAACCTGACTGTCTCAGTCAATAAAGAGGAAGTCTCTGTGGCTTCCACAGCCAGGTCTTAAAACCCCCACGCACTTCCCCCTTGTTCTCCTGGAACACTCACTTGCTCTTAGAAACCAGCTACCCTGCCGCACGGGAGGGAGACCAGGCCCTAGGAGACACCACATGTAGGTGTTCAGCCAACACCCCCTGCTGAGGTCCTAGCTAATGACTAGCACCCATCAGTAGACAAGAGAGTGAGGAAGCCTTCAGGATAACTGCAGTTCCAGCCACTGACTATACCTTCATGGGAGACTTTGAGGACTGCTGGACTGAGTCCAGTCAGCTGAGAACTGTGAGAAAGAATAA